ACTTTCATCATCTTTGGTGAAGACAGACACATGGCTTAAGGGGTTTGGAAAGAGATTATGAAATGCAGCTTTTGGTGAATCTCAGGTTTTCTTTTGTTTTGACATTGATCTTGTGTTTTGTTTAGTTCAGTATGTGAGGCACCTGATCCATCATGAGAATGTGTTCACAAACGATCAGCTGATCTGAGATGGCATGTTGGCTACATTTGACTTTTCTGTTTAGACCTCCCCTCACCTCCTTCTACCGCAACCACTTTTTTTTTATTATTTTATTATTATTACTTTTTTTTTTTGGTCAGACTCTTCAATTAAGATGAAACTAATCATGGTTTCTGCAGGTGGAAACAGAAGATGTTGTGATACTACTTGAGGTATTCTAGTAAATTCTGTACATGACCAAGAAAATGGATGGCCTCTTTACGTATTTATGCGTGACTGTTTGCCATTCACTCTTCACTTATCCCTACAGAGTACCTCCATCCAGTTTTGGACCACTGGATTTCTGATGCTGCTCATTTCCTCTCCAGCAGACATAAACTAGTCTAATCCTGGGAGTATATAGCTTCCTTTTTATTTTACTTTTTGCCAGAAATAATAACCTTGACTTTTTCATTTTTCTCATCACAGCTAATATTGATTGGAATTGCAAAAGTAAATGAAGTTGTTGCACAGTTAAAACAGAATTGCACCAGGATGTAACTAATAATAGCTCAGAACCAAAGTAAGTTAGAATGAATTACTTTGATGGGTGGCGTGAAGGAAATGTACAGCGTATAGGTGTGTGAAAATTCATTTAACCCTTCTCTAATTAGATAATGATAATAGGAAAAAGTGAAAGAAATATGTTAAAAATAGTTCTATGAGGTTTCAGGATTTTAGTGTCAATATTTTCAGTGTCCACACAGATGATCCAGAGGGATCTAATTTTCTTTCACCGAGTTGATAATAGGGTTGTTGCTATGGTATTGTTATTTGAATGTGCTCACTTGTGCTTCTCTGAAGCTGTGGAATTGGCTTATCCCTGCTGTTTGAACAAATATCGGGCCATCATGCTGCAAAGAGAAGCAAAATGCTGTAACTGTAAACAGTTTAGTTGACATTTGTGTCTCCAGTACTTTTTTTTCTCCTTTTTCTCCTTTTCTCCTCTAAATCCTCAGTATATCCATTAATCACTTCCCCTTTAGTCATTCAGCTGAAAGCTAGACTTGTCCATGGATATCTTCTGAATTCACCTGTTACTTAATTTTGGTTTTGCTTCACCATTTGGAATACTTTAGGAAGATTTCAGGAAGCATTGGAATAAAATGTACTTCTTTCTTGCATTAGAATTCTGTTAAAAATGTATCTCTTCCAGGTTCAGTCTTGTTTAAGCCAGTGCATCTCCACAGAATATGTGGTGTCAGTTCTTCCTCACCCTGGGAGCAATCAGTCTATTTCTAGCTCTTGGTCATCAGAAACATCTCAGTTCTCTGGATTTTACCCCCAGTTAGACAAAAAAAGAGTAGAGCACTGTAGCAGTAGAAGCAACTGTTAGTTGAACCATATTAGGTGTGTGCTGAAGACAGAGGATTAAAATTCATATCCCACCTTCCACTGTATCCTTCCATATTCACCTTTACGTAGGTCAACAGCAGAACTGAAGCCTGTTAGGAGTGCTACCCTCTGCCACTCAGACTGCTATAGCGTGTGATGGTATCAGTAACGGGTGTCGCCCTCTGTTGTCACCTGTGCTGCAAAAAGAAGGGTCTCTCATCCAGTGGGTTTCTTAGTGGCTCCATAACCAAGGACGAGAGATGAGATCCACAGCCTTCAGACTCCCTCAGCTTCTGTGAGTGTGCACTCTAGGGGGACAGGCTCTCCTGCCTGCTTCTTTCTTATCTTGACTCTTTTTGCTCTGTTCCATCTAATCTGTCCCTGTTGCAGACACTTTTTGTCTCTTAGCTCCTTTCTCAGGCCTGTCTCCATTACTTGCAGTTCACATTCAATTGATGTAAAATGGCAACCAAGAAAAAGCAGTACCCAGGCTTTATTCTGCTCTTTGTGTTATGACAACCACCTAGTACTTTCTTTAAGTGCTTTTAAATTCCTAAGCATTAACTTGTAAACATATGTCAAACAGACCAGTGCTAGCAGGTTCATAATGTAGCTTCCCATCTGTCAGTTTCATGGGAGATAATGAAGTGAAACATGAATATCATAACTTGTGTGTATACTGAACTCTTATTCCTTGAAAATCAGTTTCAGAAAAATTAACACCAACTCTACTAGGAGTCTATTAGTCTATTTGGGGAATGTCTTCTGTCTTTGTACTAATTATTTTGCTTATTTATCAAGATGTTGGAAAAGTTTCCAATGTTTCTTTTGACGCTTTGGCTACTGCTTTGTACTTCCTGGGATATATTGAATCTATTTTTAGCATCTGTTGCTTTTTGGCTTGTGTTCTATTTATATCAGAGTGGTGGATTCTCTGAAAGGTGCCCATGTTACTGTTATTAGAGCTCTTTGACATTCAGTTTCCGTGTGTGTTTTTTTCTTTTTTTTTTTTTTTTTTACTTTTTTTTTTTTTTTTCCTCCACAAATGGAGTTATAAGCAAACAACTGTCAGTTTTGTGCTTTTTGTCAAAGGGTTTGGTAAAGAGTTACTCTGCTGATCTGATATATAGCATGAATATTGCTGAAATTGACCATTGCAACTTCATAGTAAGCATATAAGCATGTAATCCTACGTCGTAGATCCTCAAAATAGACCTTTAGTGGGATGTACTTCAGGAGTGTATGTGTGTCACTCAAAGCAGTTATTTGCTAAGAATACCTGTGTGTAAAAACACACAGGTATTGTGAGCCTCTTACTAAGGAACATCTTATTACTACACAAGATTAAAGGAAAGAATTCCATCAATCTTCCGTTAGCAAAGAGTATTCTTAGGAACTTGGTAGACTGCTTAGATATATATTTCCTGAAAAGTGAGTTCGGATATTGACCAGTAGTCCTACTGAGGGGCTGGTATTTTGGCCCTTTTATAGTTCACAGATTTGGATCCCTTTCTTAATCAAAACCTTCTGGAGATGTTCTCTCTTATTGGTGAAACTCTGAATGCAAGTGAATAAAATGAAACAAAATAAAATAAAATAAAACAACAACACCAAAAAACTTACCTTCCAGTATCCTCTTCTCTTGCTATTCAGCTCAGTGATATTGCAGTCTTGTTTGTCCCTGACAATACAAATTTAATACTAGGTTGTCTCATATTAGGAGAACTTGTAAATATAAATACAGTTTTTCCTGTTGTGTTCGTCTAGCCTCACTTGCTATCAGATTCATTCTCTGATGAAGTGTGTGTAGTAAATGTTAGTCCCTCTCCTCACCTTAAGAGTCTGACTTCAGGTTTAAATTGTCTTTAACTAGGACATTTTTCCTAGTTTACAGAATCTCTTCTTGCTTGGTGGAAAATTTCTTTTATAATCAGTCTTAAAAATGATTATGGCATGAACTCCCTGTGAACCCCACAGCTTGCCTCCAGCATTTCTTACAGATCAGTTATGATACATTGATGCAGTAGGCAGTAAAAAAAAGAAGAAAAAAAAAAAGATGCTTGGTCAAATATTACCCCTTTTTCTCAAGCACATTATGAATTTAAGATGCTTTTTCACAAAAGAAGAGTTGGCTTTTTTTTTTTGTTTTTTTTTTTCAATGATGATCTCTTGGAATTCAGGAATGGTACCATGTGACTTTTTCATCTGAATATAAATAAACACTGTTTTACTATGAGGGTGATGGAACAGTGGAGCAGGTGGCCCAAACCGCTTTCACACTTCGGGATATTTAAAAGATGTCTGGACACAGTCTTGAGCAACCAGCTCTTGGGCAGGGAGACTGGACCAGATGACCTCCAGAGGTCTCTCTCAAACCCAACCATTCTGCCATTCTGTGATTCTGTGCCCCCTTTTTTTTTTTTTTTTTTTTTTTTACTCTTTCACCTTTCTTTTGGTAGCACATCACCTTTTTAATAATTTAACTTGATTATTTAACTGACATTGGAAAAATTTGATTTTGTTCTTTTGTTCTTTCTTTCCTGTGAGTTGTGTAAGCAGGTGGCTACTAGCTAAAGTGGTAGTTTTGGGATATCATTGCTGTTAAAATGTCTTGCTGTCTTGTCTGAGCGGACTGCTGGGGTAGTTCATTTAATTTCTAGTGGCCTGTAATAACAAAGTAGTTTGCAGTGACCTTATTTTTTTTTTCCGGCAAGGAGTGAAGTTCATGTGTGTGTCCATCTGTGTTCTGTTCTGAACTAGCTATAAACCAAGGTTTTCTCTGAAGCCAGTAGGGAGAAATAGGTACCTCTAACACAGCTAACTCATCCAGAGATCTCAGTCCGTTAACTTTCAGGGCAGAGTAAGCACATAGGTTAGATGACATGCCGGTCTGCCTGTAGTTAGGAGAGATGAATTCACCTTTAGGCTTCTGTATGGTCCATCTTGCCTCCTTTTTTTTCTTTTTTTTTTTTTTTTTTTCTCCCCAGAGTGGCTCTGATCTCTTCAAAGATTTCTGTTTTCATTAGTGTGAATATTACAAGGTAATATAATAATATAGGAGGCAACGTATTACACATTTGGCTTGCGTGAAGTCCTGCTGTTTTGAGAGGTAGATGAAGTTTCTCTGAAGCCAACAGAATAACATATGTGAACACCAATTCATCTTAGCTTTGACAGATTCGTTTCTGGATTCTTTCCAAACCCCTGCCCTGAAACAGGAGGCTAAAGGACAGCTGTGCCCCAGTCTTATATTTCCTTTGTATAGAAAGGGCAGACATCCTTCCAGCTGGCTGAAGATCTCATGCTCTGATTTAACTGCTGTTTATTTCATAGAGTGAGGTTGCTCTGCATAACTTAGTAAACACATACCTGTCTTGTGCACCATCCATCAAATACGTTACACTGCAGACTCAGTAACAGGCAGGAGCCCTTAAAAATGATCTGTAATGATGTGTGTTTAATTTCAGCATGTTCCTTCTCCTTGACCATACAGCTTGAAGCTTTCCCAGGTGAGTGGCACTGAAAGGTATTCCTTTTCCACTTGTCTCTAGTCTGGCTACATCTGTAGTGGTAAATAAAATAGGCCTTAGAAACTTAACCTCATATGGCTAAACTGTCTTCCTGCCATTCCCAATCCTCAAAAGTGGTGTTGCCTGTGCTGTCAGTGGGGACCATTGATCCTCCGGCTTCTGCTGTTCCTGAAACTGTTGCTGGGCATTGTCAGGGAAACTGCATGCTGTCATGAAGGCGCACTGGCAGCTAAACAGTTGGGCTATTGTGTGCCAGGGCTGAAGCCTGTGTCCTTGCTCTGTTTATAATTTTTCTAGTGTGCAAAGCCTCTGCATTAGCAGGTACCTGGGGCCAGGCTGAGGACAGGCTGGGCTGTGGGCCCAGCTGGGTGGAGGCTGTGGGGAGCTGGAGCTCAGCCTAGCTGCAGCCTCAGTGGCACTAAGGCACAGGATTTAAAGAGGGTACCTGGTCTCCCTAATTTCTGAGAAGAGCTGCTCTTCTGTGAAGATGGACACAGCTGTACAGCCTCTGTGCTAGTACTAGCCTAATCAGAGTTACATCTCTTTGTTGCAGGGGAGTTGTAGTTGTTTGTTTTTCACTTTCATTAAATTTCATTTCAGATTTATTCCTGGGCTCCTTCTGGAAGAGAGGTGAGCAGAGCCATGCTCTCCACCAGCCCTGCTGCTGTTTGCCAGAGCCACCCTCACAGTGACGTTGCTTCTAGAGAGGTCTCCTGGTGTTGGCTAACCACCAACTTTTCCACATCCCTCTACTGAAAATGTGAGTTCAAAGTGTTAGTTTGTAATCATAGCTGATGATTATGTAAGAGAGAATGGTAAAAATAATGATTTACTCTTTATCATTATAAGTAAAAATAATTTTTTGATCTGCTCCCCTGCCTACATGTATTTCCTGCACTGTTTTTCTTCATGTGTTCCCCACTGCCACCAGGTTTAGAGGCAATGGTTCCCTTTCACGTACATGTTCCAGACCTCTTCTTATATTGTTCAACCCCTTTACTTGCAGAGTCTGGGACTCTTAGTTGCCTGCTGCAGTACAATCTCTTTGCTTTATGTTGTTTCACTGTTTCTTGCTCATTCCCGGATGTTTTTTGAGCTTCTAAATCAAAGAACACAAACCTATTTACTGCATAATATGCACTAATCATTTCATAACTGCAAAATGGCCTGTTTTGTTGCACATAATTATTGAGATACATGTTATGGAGTGAGAACAACTATTGATTTTTAGCATCACATGTTAAGAACAGCTTTGCCTAGTTTATCAGATAACGGTTCTGTAATTGGAAGCATTTAGATGTATGTATGTAAATGTGCAATACTGAAAACAAATAAATAAGATACTAACAATATTATATTGACTTAAGCATGTCCGCTTCATCATTTTTTTTGTCTCTGAGCATCTTAGTTAATGGCTTGCCTTAGATGTGCCTTCATTGCATGGAGGCAATAGTGCATGAACCACAGAGGGCCTGTTTTATATTTATGTGTATCATATAGGAATCATCCGTAATTCAGGTTTAATGTGCTGGGGTAAATACCTTTCTTCTTTTTGCTAAAAGTTTCTCTAATGCTTGTGCTATATGAATTTTCATGCTATCTACGTTTTACTTGATATTCTTGATTTACCTGGCCTTATTGTGCTGTGTTTATGTTATCAATGAGTTTAAAATTTGGCTCTACTGTTTTCCTTTCTCTTCATGTATACTTCTGAAGAGGTCTTTGTAGCCTTTCACACACATTGATGCCTGCTATTCATTTGCATTCCATTTCTTATTGTGTTCTGCTGCCTTGTCTTTGCATCTGCTGCTAGTTTCAACTTCACAACCTATTTATTTTTTGCTGTTTTGCACTGCACTGGTGTCACATACAGGCAAAATCTCTGAGTCACTGCTTACTTTCTTAATATGGGAGTTTTTTTTGTTTGTTTGTTTGTTTTTAATTGTCTGCAGACTTTTGCATAATGACTTGTCAGAATTTTTGCATGCAACCCCACATAAAAGCCATTTCATTATTTAATATATATATACATTTTCACAGTAGCCACAGATCTTTGGGACTTGTTCACTTCTTCTGCTTTGTGTTGTTATACCTTCCTTTGTCTGATTTTCAGTAAATTTTCATGGTTTCCTTGTCCTGCCTTCTGAAATATTTTTGTGACTTAATTTTTGCTTATACTGTGTTTGGATGTGAGCTTGTTCACTGGCCATGCACATCTTTAGCTCTCTGTAGAGTTAATGGGCTCTCTAAGCATTTTCATTTGAGTGCCTGGATTTTTGTCCTGTCATTATTCTATCACAAATTAGTTCAGCCTGTATAGTTTGGTAACTGCATGAATCAGTCATCTTTGTATCATTTGCCAAAGCTCTGACCCATTGTTCTGCAGGTTCTTGACTGGTGGAAAAAGCAGCCTTTCATGTAACAGGATTTTTTAATGAATTAAAATACTCAGGGGCATTAAGAATTCTCTCTGTCTGCAGCTGACATAGTAGGATGTCACTGAAGTGTAAGACACCCTTTGCCCGTAACAAAAGTCTGCTCCAATTGTTTCTTGTTTTCTAGAGCCGCATTGCATTCTGTTGTTTTCTTTCTGTGGCTGTGTAATTCTCTGTGTTTTCCTTTTAAATGCTCACCTGCTCAGACACTGGGCTATATTTTCCCTTAGTTTATGAGTTTTGTTGGCTCTAAGATCACATTGAATTTTTATCCTGTTATTGTGCATATGAACACAAGCAAAGATACTCAGAACAGGACCACATCCATGTTTAATTCCATCCTTCCCAAGTAAGGTTTTGAGCATCTTGTGTTTGGGAAGAGCTCTACAACATTTTTCTGACAACGTTAGCATCACCTTTCTGTCCCCTTCATCTCTTCACTCTGTGTCTGACCTTTAGTCACTTGTTCCTTATCCCCCGGCTCTGTTCTTGGTCTCTCACACTTTTGTGTCCTGGTGTCTTTGCACAGTCAGCTCCATGTCCACATGCTTCATCAAATCTGTCTCACCTATCCCTTAGGGCATCTTTTCAGTGGTTTGCAGGTTTACTGCTTTTAGCGTCCTCTTTGGTACTCGTTTTGACACCACTTCTTGCTACATCTATTTGCTGGTCCTATCTTTTATTCTTTCTTTGTGTGGGAGTTGGGTAGATTCTTGTTCCTTACTTAGTATCTAGCACACCTGATGGGAAGCTCATCAGAAAATCATACAATTATACAACTGTTTTGCTTGGAAAAGACCCTTAAGATCTTTAAGTCCAACCATAATGTGACAAGGAAGGTGTTGCTTTCTCCCTCAAAAATCTGGCTATATTAAAACAACAGTTTTAATCATTGAGCCCTAGTTAATGCATAATTGGACAATTCCCCCAACAGTACAAGGCTTACAGCACACTGTTTTGAATGTATATTTGCAAAGTGTGTTTTCCAGATACTAAGGGCATTACTTTTCCCATTTGCAGTTTCTACTCCAAAACATGGAGCTTTCATCTGGATCACCAGTTTCAATACCAGGAAAACAAACAGAAAGATCCACCAAAAACTTATATTTCCCCTAGTCTTTCAAAAATACCTGACTGATAGTAAATCAGGTAGATTTAGAAGACCACCAGAAAAAAAAAAAAGCAACAACAAGCAAACAAACAAACAAACAAAAAACAGGTTGACCCAGTATCAAAAGCCAAAACGTAGTGATCAAGCTTTAAAATAAAACAGAGCAAAATCTTGCAGAACAATTAATAAGATAATTGTAATAACAATTGATTTTACTAAACATATTAAATAAAAATATGAGCTTATTGGGTATACGAAATGTATAGGCTCTGTTTCTTTAGCTGGGGTTTAAATGAGGAAAAGGAAGTTGCATGGGTGAATAGCTTCACTTAAATCCACTGAATCAGTATGCAAGGAAAAAAAAAAAAGTAATATCACCAAAACAAATCAAAGGAATGAATAAAAGCTTCAAGATAATTTTGTTTTGAATCTCTTTATTTAGGATACATAAATTTGTTCCAGATAAGATCAATGTAATTAATAGCTGCAAATCTTAACAACTCAAAATGTATTTGGGTGTAGATGTAGATTACAGCAGTTTATGTCTTATTTGCAAAAGGCCAAAAGGCTACAAAAACTACAGCACTTTTGTGATATCTGTCAGGACACCTTTGGGTAAAACCAACAACAAAACTTACTACTAAATATAATGTTATTCTGACCATTTTTATTTCCAATCTGTGCACTAAAGGGATAACCATTAAACTTGAACACCTCAGTGTTTAACCTTTAGTGTAATGATGTCTTCAATGCCTTCCTACCACCATTTCTATGTACCTTGTCAGACGATTTCCGTTTCGGAGCCTGCCTCCACCATTCCTAAGTTCTCTGTGCTTATTTGTGTAGCTTCATTATAATTACAGACCAGGTCCAGAGGCTGTTTCCCAAATGCAATAAGCTGTTCGGTCCTAAGATGACCATTTTGTTTGGTGACAGTACAGCACAAACCTTAAAAAGAGTACAAATTGAGACTAGGTGCACTCTATATGAAATAGTGAGAACTTTTTCTGAGCATTGACTATGACTGAGAAATCTCAGATAAAAGGTGCTATCTAAAACAAATACAATCTTGAAACCTTGTCCTCTGCACTATTCCCTCTGTTCTGTTCCCCTTGAACTGTTCTTCAAAACAGAACAGTTTACCTCTTAGATAATTAATCTACTGTGATAGTGAGTATCCAGGTTTAAAATAGTGTTCAGGCTTTAGAAGTTAATTCCAGAATTGCAGGATAGTTTACTGTCTTTGAGATCTTTGATATAAACAAACTCCCTTATATGAGATGATATTAACAGCAACTGTTTAGGGATTTGATGCTGTCAACATAACAAAACAACAACAAAAAACACAACATACTTTTTGAGGCAAATAGCCTAAGCTACTTGCAGATATTCAATGACAAATAAAGACTTTAAATTTGGACCTTGTAGAAGGCTTAAGGATAAATGGTCTGAAGGTGGACTTCTGGTTGTTTTTAAAATTTTGGGGGGTTATTTTTATTTGTTTGTTTTTCCCCTTTTGTCCCATCTTACTTTCAATGTATTTGACAGGGACAATGCTACAGAAGCTTTTTGAGGGAAGAGGTTTATTGCATCAGGCAGAGGTGTTTTTTTTTTTTTTTTTTTTTTTTTTTTTTGTGGGAAAAATGCACTCAGAGTAAAGTATGTGACAGATTGCCAAAACTCATTTGTGCATTTGGCCCTGGCTTGTTTTGATTTTCCAAACTAGGCGTGTATGGTAGCATGATGACAGCAACACTTTCACAGGAGCAAATAATGGAAATAACATTGCTGCATTTCACAGCTCATCTCCCCTGAGTTTTTAAATTGAGCAGAATCAATTTCTACTGATTCTTGGTTTTTCCCCTTTGTGTCACAGTTCAGATGGGTTCCTGGTGCTCTTCTAGAACAGGAATACAAGGCCAGGTCTGTGCTAGTCCCGTAAACACTGATGAAGCTCTGACACTCGCTCTCAATAATACATAATTGTGATCACATTCTTGTTTGACTGATGGCTTCTAGCATGCTTCTAGGGGAGGACTGTGAGCCGAGGACCCTACTCAGTATGGATGAGGACACACAGATGTGCGTGTGGGAGTGAAAACCTTAGCCATATGACGGTGGGTTACATCGCACCACTTGCCATCTCAGTGGCAGAGGCTTAGCTCTTAGCCATGTTGGTTGCCTATAGAGGTGCAATCTAAACAGATCAGCTCA